TTTTAGTAAAACAATGATCTCTGCATTTCCTGATTTTCTGACTATTACGCGATTACATTTATATTCGATGGTCTTATTTCGAAAGTATAAATCAGTTCTAAATAATTTGGTTCTTATTTGAGAATGTTCACGTCAATTTCTATGATTTCTTACAATTGAATTCCTCCTCTTTTTCATAAACGATGTCCAAAAATTTCTACTCTGCATGTGTTCTACCCCCAGGGTGCTTTCATCAAAACTAACCGCAAGTATTTCTAGTTTCGGAAATTTAAGAAATAATTCCGAATAGTTCACAGAGGACGAATTTTAACATTCTGACATTCAGTTTTCCCTTTTGCACCCCAATTCTACATCACTAAGCCTAATGTTAGGATTTCCTAAAGCTTTTTCAAAACTCAATCGCATGTACTTTTAATTCCTAAATCTTAAGAAATTCCTAAATAGTGCACGAAGAAACTTTGACATTGCCACTGTTTTTACACCCCAATTCTAATCATCACTAACTCCACATTAAAATCTCCAAAAGTGCTTTGTAAATTTAATCCCAAATACTCGTAGTTCTTAAATTTTCAAAATTTAATCCCAAATATTTGTGGTTTTTTAAATTTTAAGGAATTCCTACGTAATACACAAAGAGCGAACGTTATTTATTCTAACTTCTATTGTAGAGTTAGCTTTTCCATCCCAATTCTACGTCACTAATCTGACATTAGGATCTCCTGAAATATTAGAATCTCCCCTTTGAAAACTCCACCCCCCAAGTACTTGCAGTTCCTAAATCTTAATATACAAATACTCGGATAATTCCTCAGTGCACAAACAACGAACTTTAATTCTCTTTAACTTCAACTCCCGAATTCTACATAGTACCCGATGCTTTTGTCCTGACAGAAATCAATGCCAAGATTCTCCGTCGTTGCTCCGCTTTATCAGGGCTGATCGATTCGAATCGGACGAGTCCCCCCGAAGGGCGACTTTTCGAATGTCGCCGACACAAAAATGCCAAGGGAACAGGCGAGTCGCACATACAATTTCCTGAGAGAGTCCGAAAATCTTCTTGCCGGCGTGGCTACGTGGCCACGTATCCTCCTCTACGTGTGCACGAGCACAGCCGTGTGTGGTTGGGTAATCAATACTCCACTTACATATCCGCGCCGTCCACCCGGAGCCGGCCCCGCGCGCGTTTATCGCCTTATTATTATCGAGTTTCGTCTTTTTCGCAGAGGATTCGGGTCACCCGCTAACTGGAGCTGTTCGTCGCGAGCTACATGCTTGTTTACCTAATTGCGGCCCCGCCTTTTTTGGGTCACACCGTGTGTGTGCTTCCCGTCTTGCCAGCTCGCGTTGGCACGGAGCATCGCAAATTGTCCACTCGGGACTCTCTCTTTTTT